ACTGGATTTCCATTAAAAAAAATATCCCCCCCCCCTCAAATAAATGTTTCCGCCGAGTGCAGCCGGTGTTCAGCTTTAGTACTTCCCCCAGCTCTGCTGAACTCGGCCTATCCCGGCTGCCAATCATGAGGCCCGGGAAAGACCCAACTGCAGGCCAAGCTCTGACCCTCTTCCTGCAAAAGAATCGAATGTGAAACCAGCTGCACCATAAACACCTAAAATAGGACAAACACAGCTTTTACCCGCCGCCCGTCCATGGCTGTTCCTGAACGGCCCGGACGGGAGCCTTATAGGAGCGGGAGGGCGTCTCAAGACGTCCTGCCCCCCCTCACCGCCCAGCGCGCACACGAGTGGGAAAACTGTCAGCATGTAAATCGCTTGTACTAGCTGCGGGTGTTCGCCCCCCCCCGTACCTCCATCGCCACCGCTGCTGCCGGTCCTGAGATGAGATCCGCTGTGCCCGGTGCGATTGGGATTGGCGACGCTGTCAGTGCAGATCAAAGGGAGATCAGTACACGGTCTCCCTTTGATCTCCTCTCCAGTCCCCGAATGCAGGAAGCGATGTGTATTGCATCACTTCCTGCATTCAGTGTCACTCTCCGGTTACAGATGCACGATCTCCCTCCGGTCCCCTCTGGTCCTGAGCTCCGCTGTGCCGGTGTGAGCGCCGGGACCAGCATGGTGGATCTCCCTCCGGTCCCCTCTCCGGTGTCAGAATGCGGAAGTGATGTATATTACATCACTTCCGCACAGTGGTGTCACAAGGGGGGTGCAGCCTGCACCCAGGGGACACCATTGGAGGGGTGACACCAAAATGACTTACAGTCATTTTGGTGTCACCCCCCTCTGAAAAGTCGGGGGGCGCTCGGTCATGGGCCGACCGCCCGACAGTATCAGGAGAGAGGAGGGGACCCGGTGGTACCTTATCCCGCCGGGTGACTGTCCCCTCCTCTCTCTGCAGGCGTCCATCACCAATATGGCCGCTGGCAGGTATCAGAATACTGCTGCGCGTGCACGATGACGTCTCGGCGGGGTGACACTCGGTTACCGCTCCGGGTGTCCTCCAGCCTCGGGACGTCCCTGGTGCAATAGCCAGCTTGCTATTGGATATTGCAAATTGAACTAGCCAATAGCAATCTAGCTATTCATTCCTATGCATTTTTTTTATTCTGACGGTAGCAGCTGTCAGAATGCTAAAAAAACAAACAAACAAGCAAAGAAGCTATTGTTTCCTGTGCTATCTGCTGTCATTTCAGGGGGGTGCTCTCTCCCCCCCCCCCC